TGTGTACATAATTTCGCTCCACCACATGTACCACATGAGGTGCGAATGACAATAAAGAAACTCTGACTCTGACTCTCTGACTCTCTAAAATAAGACAATAAATTATCAGTCAGCAGCTCGGACCAGACACTGTACATAAACAGAAAACTAAAGACAGAGGGAAGACATACAGCAGGACATTTTGTTCAACATGGTCGGAATATTTTCTGTCTACATTTCACAGGTGGATGTTTTAACTGGGTAATGGTTGGGAGCAAAGGGTTAAATGGTAAATGGACTGTACTTAAATGCAGTAGCACCTTTCTATCTTATCAAGAAACTCAAAGCTCTTTACAACACAATCTGTGCATCATTTACCCATTCATACAGCACTCTGCTAGATCTCTACAAAGACTAATCAGTACTTTATTCAAGGATTTTTTTTATTGTCATTCACATCACATGTGGTACATGAAGTGGAACGAAACTATGTACACAGGGTCCCAGTTACATCCAACAAAAATACAAATTGTCAAGAAAAACAGTAGTAAGATCCAAGACATGAACTGAGAACATACTAAGCAATAATAGTACAAAACAATGTGCCAAACAACAGCAGCACGAACATGAGTCTGTGTGAGCAGATGAGGACGAATGAACACAGCAACATGAAATAACTCAGCAGTATGAGATCAGCATCATGGATAGTCATCTTTATCACATTCATTCATTGATGGGACACACATCGGAGGCAATGAGGGGTTCAGTGTTTTCCCAGGAACACTTCAGCATGTGACTGCTGGTGGAATCGAACCCCCAACTCTCCTACTGGAGGACAACTGCTCTAACCACTCAGCCACAGCTGCACTCACGTGTGATGGGATAAAGGCAGAGAACTAATTTTGCCTTTGTATGGGAACATATGATGATGACGACACGTCACATCACTTTAAAACTGCTTCAGGTTTATCCATCCATCATCTTTACCCGCTTCTTCCATTTTGGGTCATGGGGGTTGCCGGTGGCCGGACTTTTACTTATGGAGCTCGGCCGGGCACAGCCCGAAGAGGCAACATGGGTCCCCCTTCCCATGGGCTCACCACCTGTGGGAGGGGCCAAAGGGGTCGGGTGCAATGTGGGATGGGTGGTGGCCGAGGGCTTGGACCCTGGCGGTCTGATCCTCGGCTACAGAAGCTGGCCATTGGGACGTGGAATGTCACCTCTCTGGTGGGGAAGGAACCTGAGCTGGTGTGTGAGGTTGAGAGATTTCGGCTAGAAATAGTCGGACTCACCTCAACGCATGGCTCTGGCTCTGGAACCAGTTTCCTTGAGAGGGGTTGGACACTCTTCCACTCTGGAGTTGCCCCTGGCGAGAGGCGCCGAGCAGGAGTGGGCATACTTGTTGCTGCCCATCTTGGTGCCTGTACGTTGGTGTTCACCCTAGTGAACGAGAGGGTAGCCTCCCTCCCCCTATGTGTGGGGGGATGGGTTCTGACTGTTGTTTGTGCTTATGCGCCAAACAGCAGCCCAGATTACCCACCCTTTTTGGAGTCCTTGGAGGGGGTACTGGAGAGTGCACCTCCTGGGGACTCCCTTGTTCTACAGGGGGACTTCAACGCTCACATGGGCAATGACAGTGAGACTTGGAGGGGTGTGGTTGGGAGGAATGGCCCCCCTGAGCTGAACCTGAGTGGTGTTCTGTTATTGGATTTCTGTGCTCGTCATGGATTGTCCATAACGAACACCATGTTCAGGCATAAGGGTGTCCATATGTGCTCTTGGCACCAGGACACCCTAGGCCGCAGAACGATGATCGACTTTGTTGTTGTCTCATCTGATCTGTGGCCGCATGTCTTGGACACTCGGGTGAAGAGAGGGGCGGAGCTATCCACTGACCATTACCTGGTAGTGAGTTGGCTCCGATGGTGGGGGAGGATGCTGGTCAGACCTGGCAGATGCAAAAGTATTGTGAGGATCTGCAGGGAATGTCTGGCAGAATCTCCTGTGAGACAGAGCTTTAACTCTCACCTCCGGGAGAGCTTCGAAAACGTCCCGGGGGAGGTGGGGGACATTGAGTCTGAGTGGGCCATGTTCCGCGCCTCTATTGTGGAGGCGGCTTATCGGAGCTGTGGCCGCAAGGTTGTTGGTGCCTGTCGCGGTGGTAACCCTCGAACCCAGTGGTGGACACCGGCGGCGAGGGATGCTGTCAGGCTGAAGAAGAAGTCCTATC